AGTGCACAGAATTTTTAATACTTCTTATCATCTATTATTAATGTGATTTGAAAATGTGGATTTCAATAACTTACTAATGTTGCCTTTAATATGTCCTTTGTGTCCTTAGACATCATGTTGCCTTCATGCACTGTGGGCAAGATTTCCCTGCTTTAATCCTGTGTTTTCATTCATCAGAAGTATTTTGATATGCACATATGGATCTTTGATTTATTTTATTCACCCTAGGCCCTTTTTTAAAAAAAATATAGGATATAATTTAACAGTGATCATTTCAGAAGGCTAAAAAGAAAACAGCACACGGCTCAGACTGGATTACTTACTTTTCAATAAACAAAGAACTCCACGTTACCTCCTTTAACCCCTTTTAACCATAAACCAGACTGGAACCAGACTGGCTGACAAAGATGGGCAGTGATTCCCATCATGTCGAGGCCATGCCAGGTCACTCATGTGAAAGAGGTCAGATACTCCCACATGTGTCACTGGTATAAATTAGCAAATTTGCATGTGAAATGTGGACCCGAATAACTTCTGCTAACCATTTTTTCTCACTTACAAAAAACATGTGGGCTGATTTTCACACATTTTTAAACAGCTCTGGAGTCCTGATTGATCATCTGGCATCTACTGTAAATGCATTGATGCATTTTGCACTGAATTCAAATACAGTCTATGATGGCTTGTATCACTCTATCACTGCTGCAGCAGGGCACAGCTGAAGTGTGGGCGTCTGCAGGCACTATCATTAATGGGACTCTAGCAGCCGTCCTGCTGTTACTATTTATACTTTTGTGGCAGTTTGTTTAACTCACTGCCATTGTTATTTCCGACTAAAGTCTTCTAATTTGTGAAATTATCAGACAGTTTTCTCACAGTGAGATAGTTGAGGCACCTAATGATTTCACAACGTGTAGCACTAGAACTCTAATTTTGTGTGGGGTTGTTGTTGTTGTTGTTGTTGTGAAGATATTCAAATTGCCCCACTTGTTCATTATGCTTCCGCCCACTCTTTAAACACTTGAACCCAGCCCCCACCAACATTGACACTCAGTGCCATGGTACCAGTCTGAGCCAGCTGTGGATAGAGGATGGGCCTGAGTAGTGACATTGGCAGTGGTGTTGAGACGGTCCTGGTGACCCCTCTTCCACCACATACTACTGTGTGTGTGTGTGTGTGTGTGTGTTTGTATTGTGGCACTATGGTCTTTGTTTGTTTGACATCGCTGCCCTTTGTTCCTCCATAATCATGGCAAGGACAATAGATATTGTATCTGCAGTCACAAAGAGAAGCTCTTTCTTCAGGCCCCTGAAGCCAGTGTTTTACCATCATCCCTCACTCGCCTGGTGACGCCTGTGACCGCTGGAGAAAGAAGGCAGGACCAGAGTCAGTAGGAGCTGAGCTGTGAGGTGTTGGTGGAAGCAGAGGAGCTTTCAGATACGGATGAAATCAGCGCAGGGAGGCTTATTTTACTGTACCAATACCTTCTAGGCAGCACTGTTCATTACTGGTTGGCATTGGGATCTTTCTTGTTGTGGAGTACAGGATCAGAAGCAGCAAATGTTTCCGGTCAGGCAGCCTTGGCTTTGCAAAGCCTTAGGTGCTTTCCTCTATCCCATTTCTGCCAATGCATTTATTAACACTGTGGATATTTGCTACCTGCTTCAACAACGCTGCTTACAGTGGAAGAAGTGCATGAGATTGTCGTGAAGTCGACTGCTTTTGTTTGGACGCTTTATTGGGAATCGCTGCTTGAACTCTTGTTTGTCACTGCTGTCTAATTTTTTTTTTCTGTTGCTTTCTTGCCTGTTGGTGGGGTTTTGGTGTATGCTCATGGATTTGCAGACAGATCAAGGCCTTTTTCATAGTTCCCCCGCAGGGTAAAAGAGTTCCCCACCGTGGCGTAGATGTGTTGTGTGCTTATATGTGCGGTGTGTGCCGCCTGTATGCTTATATATTATGCCCCCTCAGGTTGTTATGATTGCTGTATCCGGTGCATTGGGGCAGTGCCCTACCCATCCCTGGTGGCCACCTTGCTGTGCTATGCTGGCATGGCCTTATTTTGTGGCTGTGGGCACGAAGCATTGACGCAGACTGAAGTCCTGGTCGAGACTTACTTCGCCCGCCAGGTTCAGGACTTTGTTGTCATGGCCTCCTTGTGAGTGACACTTCAATACATTCTTTTAATTGGGATTTCTAACCTCTGAAAAATGTTTAATTTCGCTGTTTGACCTGACTTCTCCATGTGACTATCCTAGTATAAAATACTTCCAGTACGTGATCTATGGCCTGGCGTCATTTTTCTTCCTCTATGGTATCCTGCTGCTGGCTGAGGGTTTCTACACCACAAGCGCTGTCAAGCAGACCTTTGGTGAATTCAGGAGCACCCAATGTGGCCGCTGCCTCAGCCTGACGGTGAGAGCGAGGAGGAGGGGGGGTTAAAGAGGGAGGGGAAATATGACGTCAGGTTATTGTTAAGATACTGAATGCTGGTTTGTTTCAGCTCCTAACCTCAATGAAACGTTATTTGTTTCTGCAATTTCTACACAGAACCATGAGTTATGGTTGATGGCTGATTTAATGACACCACATTTATCACACTGAAACCTAAGCTCCTACGCCACGTTTCTGTGACCTCACATAGTGCACTCTTTATTTCAACAGTTTATCATAGTGACGTACATCTTGGCCTTCATCTGGCTGGCAGTGTTTGCCTGCACTGCTATCCCAGTCTTCTTCTTGTTCAACATGGAGCAGACCTGCCACAACATCAACATTCTGGCTGAAACAACCCCCAGCATTAATCAGCATGGCTGGATTTGCATGGACGCCAGGCAGTATGGTACGTTGCTTTTATAATGACTGGCCGCATGTGCACCTGAGGAGAATGTTAATGTGTCTGTGGAAGCAATGAATTAATCATTGGGGAGTGGATGCAAAACTGGATGTTACATTAGTTATGAAACAATGAGGATAACTACACCTTGATCTCAAATTCTTTACTGCTGTGTCCCTGTGCTGCTGCTTAAATGCTTCGTAAGTCATCATGATTCAGCAATGGTGAGAGATGCTTACGTCATGTCTTCATTTAAGGTCTGCTCCCTTGGAATGCAATGCCAGGCAAGGCTTGTGGAATGACCTTGGCATCTATTTGCAAAACCAGCGAAGTGAGTAGATGAATCCAATATTCCATTTTACAGTTTTATTAGCATTTCATGTCAGCATCCTCACATTAAAATCAGTATGCAAAAGCAATGTAAAATCTACTCTAAATTATTAATGGAGGGGTGTGTAAGTGAGCATTTTTATGTAATGTAATGTCACAGATTCTCTAAATGTATATTAAACTAACCTGTGTTTGATCTGTCTCACAGTTCTACGTCACCTATGACTTGTACATAGCTGCATTTGCTGGTGCCGGGATCACTCTCTTAGCACTGGTGAGCAATTGCTTCCTCCTTTTAAATATTAACAGTTATATCACATTTAAAGGAAAAGTTCACCCAAATTAAAGACATACCCATCTGTATTTAGCCATGCAGATAGTAGATTTGGTTTTATTTAGTTGACCAGGTCTTTAGATTGTCTCTAAGATTATTGCTGCCCCCCAGTACAATGGAGATGAATGAAATTTAGGTATAGTATTCGAAGCATTGAAAGATCTCTTTCCAGGCCTTGTTATGAACAATGCTTAGTGTAACTACTTTCTGCAAAAGAAATAGTGCCTGTCAACACTGTTCACAGCAAAGTATGTTGATTATCTGGAGTAACAGGATCAAAGTCGGTTTTCAGTGTTGTGCAAAAACATTCCAGTCATCTTGCTGGTAGCAGCTGAAATCTCAGAAATGGATTTGTCAAACCCTGGCTGTGAAAGTGGGTGAACCGACCCTTGTAGGTCAAATGTATGTTAACAGTTTGCTTGCAGATGCTGTTTATAATTATACCAGCACATATGTCCAAAACCATATGTTTTTTTCCCACCTCCATCTGAATGTCTTGCTTTGCAGTTTCTGTATATGGTTGCTGCAACCTACAACTACGCAGTCTTGCGGTTCCTGGGCAGGAAAGGGATCCGCTAAGTTCACCACGTCCATCCCATTCAACCCCATCCTCTGTCCTCAGATGGACAGTCAACACATGCAACACTAGATTTCCATTCATCCTCTGGGAACCAGAAACTTCCAAACCTGGATGACCTGCTATAGTATTTCTAATAACAGACAAATGTTTCTCATCACTTTTTTGTATGAACAACAGACAGAGAGATGAAGATAATTCATATCCAGCAGTGAGCTCTGGTCTCCTCCTCACATCCTCCCTTCAGATGATTCTCTTAGCTTTGTTGTTCATTTTCCTCTTGCAGGTTGTATCCCTCATTTTATCCTTTTTGTGAAGCTTCATTGGTGCTGATGCTGTTGTCAGATTGTGATGTATGACGTTTCATGAATAATTAAGAGCAATGACAGCTCACCTCGCAAATCATAACTGCATGCCCTCCGCTCAGTGTTTACTGATGCATATATTGGTTCTGAATATGATATTGCTGCTGCCTCATTATTACCATCTTGTGTATCAGCATCGTGTGAACTAAAGCAAGTCAAACTGAATGTACCAAAGTTCTCTGCAAGGGTAAGGTCTGTCCTCCCAGCTAGCTTTGTGCTTTCACTTACAACACATGCACTTTGCAGTCACTCCTAATGCATTTTTGCTTTGTTTAAATGCCACTGTGTAGGAGGGAAACAAAGATGTGTATCCATTTTCCTGGATTTTGTTTTTTTTGGTTACTGCTTAAAATAAGCTGTTTTTATGTTACTGAAGTGTTGATGCCTCCATGTGACTCGAGTTTGATGTGTAGCCCTGCTACTTACTGAGCTGGGTTGTGTAGTGTGTGTGCTCATTTAAAATTAAGGCTGATTAAACCATTTACATCTGAGGCAGTAATTTGTGATTTTATTTTAACAATATACAGTATGTGGCAATAAACATCTTTCATGCTGATTGTACTTCATTTAGAAATCTCCTCCAGACATGTATTCCAACATATACAAATAGTCTGCTTGAAACAATAATGTGTGTCTGATATGTTTTTTCTGCAAAAAAAAAAGAAAAATCTTTAAAAATCTCCTTTTCTAACTAAAATTCCAGAATCTCTGAATATGCAAATGTTGTTAATTTCTAAGGTTTTCCTGGTGGACAAAAGATGTCTCCTACTGCACTGCATCCATTATAAATGTGTGTGCAATGGTGGCTTCAAATTTCTATACCACACGTTTATAAGTTGCAAACTGGACCAGGGTTGACTTCCAAACTATTTGTGATGTCATAAATTATGTTCATAGAGCCCGCCCCTTAAAATCTAAATTTTCAGTGAGCACAGAGAAACTTTCCACTTTCAGCAAATGAATGTGAAAACATCCTTCTAGTGTCAAACTGTGCACATATATCATCCTGCATAGTGAAGCTAAAACATCACACTGTAGGAACAAGAAGGAAAACATATTTCTGAGTGTAGGGGGACTTTAATCATCTTTGGCAATAAATAATATGGTGCCAAACCTTTTCATTACATAATCCTGACAATACACTATGTCCTAAAATACATTCAGAAATCACAGTATGCTTTGGGTCTTTGGGTCTTCTCTGATGACAATTGTCCCAGTTAGGTTTCAGGTCTAGAGAGTTTTTGCAAAGCAGCCATCACATTGGATCCCTTGGTTATGCAAAAATATGGGGGTCAGCATATCTCCCAGGGCCTTAGCACACACACCACACTGCAAAGACACATACAATATTAGTCATTCAATATATAATGACAGATATACAGGATGTTTCCTAACAAGTAAAAGAAGAAAGACAGAACAAACCTTCAGACACTCTGGATGGCACTTCATCAGAGGTTCACTGAATGTGAGCTTGACATTCCCATCAATTATTATGTCACAGAATGAACAAATATTTCTGCTGTACCTGCAGTAGAGATGAAGTATTAAAAAGATTATCACCCTTGGTTACCTTTGTGTATAAACTGTGCCACTATGTGTTGTGTCACTGTTTACTTGACTTTAAGTTCTTACTTTGAATAGCTTACATTATGTTTGAAATTGTAAAGGTTTTGTCTTTAAAGTGAGACATTACCTGGTGTCATTAAGAGTTTGTGTGGATTGTGGCTCCTCCACAGGCTTTTCAAACTTTTCAGAGCTACAAAAATAGTCATCAGCAGAGAATAAGAAACACTTTATTGCACAAGTGAAAACATGTGAACATTATAAGAAAAACAGTAAATGTGAGGTGATTCCTTTTTATAACAGGATACTTACGTGTTGGTATCATCAGACTGGTTCAGTTTCGTCTCCTCAGTATGGGATTGCTCTTGATATTTTAGGGGTTCAGGAGCAGATTCAGCTGTGGGTGGCTCCACATCTAATGCCTCTATCAGTTCAATGGCTCTGTAAGCTAACTTATCCTGAACAGCTTCAGCATCTGAATCTGTCACAGGTTCAACTGCATCTTCGATGCTCAACTCATCCACACGATCTGCTGCACTCTTGGGTGTGTCAACACTTTGCTCAACGATAGTGTTGTCAGCAAGCTGGATTTCAGACTCAACTACCTCTTCAGCTCTGGTCTCTAAAACTGACTCTGCTGCAGAGTCGACATTACACTTTAGAGACTTGACTGTAGTTTCAGCAACAGGTTGAATAGGCAATTTGGATACAGTATCTGCCACTGATTCAGGGATTGGTTCCACACTGTCTTGGAGAGCACCCTCTTCTCCTGCAGCTTCAGTTGAAACAGGGGTCTCAGGCAATGACTCTGCAATAACCTCAGCTACAGCCTCAACTGTTTCCCCAGCAGGTTGTTCTGAATAAGCTATCTCACAACTCCCCTCTGCAGCAGTTTCAGCAGCAGGTTGAGAGGGCAATTCAGATGCAGATTCTGCCACTAAGTCAGGGATTGGTTCAACATTGTCTTGGAGAGCAGATTCAACTCCTAGGGTTGCATTAATCACATCACTCTTGTCAGGGGATGACTCCACTAGAGCCTCAGCTACGGTTTCAGCTATTTTTTCTGCAGCCTGTTCTAGTGGACATTTCCCACAACTCTCCTCTGCAGGTTGGACAGTTGATTCTACTCCTGCATCCTCCAAATGTATTGCATTTACTGACTGTGTTTTGTCTGAAGGTTCCGAAGGTGCAGCAGGGACGTCTTTACTCTCCTCTGTGCCAACCGTAGCAGATGTTTCTGCAACAGGATCTTCCACATGAGCATCTGCAGAGACCTTGACCTCAATGTGTTCCGTGTTTGACCGGTCAACTATTATATCAGCACATTCTCCTTTGTTTTTTGCTGCTGTGTTGGCAACTGGTTGCTCAGCTGGCTCCATAGGAGACACAGCCTCTGGATTTTCCTTTGCTGAAGAAATTGGCTGTGCCTCGCCATGTTGGATATGTTCTTCTACGTGAATATCTGCAGAGACCTCAGCAGCCTCCTGTTCTACGTTTGTCTGGTCAATTGTTGCATCTTCTTGGTTTTCTGCAGATGTGTTGGCAACAGATTTTTCTGGTTGTGCTTCATCATTTTGGATAAGTTCTTCTGGGAGTGCTTGGGGCCTGTAACAGAGGGAGTTACTTATTCCCAACTATGCAAAAAAGACATATGAACAAAAATCCCTACACTCAGCATTTTTAAATGTACTTGCAGTTACAGTCAATACAGAGATGCTCTCATATACTGACTTTGTATCGTCTGTGGTCTCCACTGTTGACCCCTCGGGCTGAGCATCTTTTTGAAGAAGAATAACTTCACCATTTGCCTGATAAGCTGAATCGCTAAAACACAGAACAAAAAAACAATATACTTTCAATGTATAAATATATATATATATGTATGGCCTATGTATATATGACATTACCATTCAACAATATAATTGTCCATAGTTTGCTCTAATTAAAAAAAAAAAAATTCAGCACATACATACCCTTCAGACTGAATGAACTGTGTGTTTTTGAGAGGAGAGCTCAGTGGAGATTCTATTAATCTACAGAGTAAGAATAAAAGACACACCATGAAATGAACCTTGGCATTTATAACCTTAAAGAAGAAACCTTAAAAAACAAAGCAGTGGAAAAATAAATCTTGGTAATTATTTTTTCTCAACCAGGGAAAGATTTTTATCGACTTTAAACTACTATAACTCAAAGTTTCAAGCAAAGCCATACTTTGCTCCATACTGAGATGTTAAAAGACTCATTTTTTGCAAGGGACAATTTAAATGTGCAATATTACGATAGGTTTCTTTTTAAATTAATACTTTCTTGCTGAATAGGGTAAAAAATGTTAAGAGATGTTGATGATAAGATGTCAGGAATTATGACAGTTGCAGAATATGACTCAGTTTCTACTTTCATGTAAGTGAGAGGTTCACCTATAACCTACACAAAAAAATGTTATGACCTGCTTTGGGGGATGAACACAACAAACTACACATATAGGACACAAGCACAGGAGCTGAGTGGTAAAAAAAATATAGGGCCGGTGACAGTGATTGATGAAGCGAAGCTGACAAATAGAGCTTTAAATGTCAACACAATGTTTATTAACGATGTAAATATCACCAAACACGCGCACTGAAGTGAGGGGGTGGAGCTGTTTTTCTTGAACAAGGAATGTGAACCAGTTACATGCATGAGTCAATTTATTTATTGTTGGTAATAGATGAGAGACACACAAAATTGGACTAGAGTCAATTATGCCTGCAGTGGCAAAATATCTTGATAATGATGCAACTCTGGATAGCTTGTAAGGTCATGGTCCATGCTGAAAGTAAAGTATCTGAACATTTTCATTATTAATTAAATGACTGGTACTATTTATTAGAAGGAATAACCACTCACATGACACGCTGTCCTCAGAAATGGCCATTTATTAATTAAAAACTCTGTATTAATTAATCATTAAAAAGTACACAAATACTTTATATATAATAAGCTATTATGGTCTTACATGAAATTGACCACCAAAATTATCTAAAACCAACAAAATGGGGGAAATGCCACCATTTCGGAGTGACATAGAATAATATTCTATTCAAAACAGTTTTTTGTTTGTTTGTTTGGCTGCTTCTTGATTATACTATCTATTTTACATCTAGAATTTCACGTCATTTGAACACTGATTCAATTTACTGATTTTACCTGTTTATCTCTGAAGTTGGACACTTATTTTTGTAACGGGAACGTCAAGACTTTTATTTTGAAGGCCCCGTCGCTTTTCTTCCGGTTATGTTCCGCTGTCTGCTGGCTTGAGTTAGCTACTTCATGCTAGGCAAGGAAATGTCCCATTCTGGTGAATTGTTACTGCATAATTTCACCTTTCTGTAAGCAGGCAGACATGTAGCGGCGACTGTAGAATAAACACTGCCACTTGGTTTGTGTTTCTAAAGCCTAATCTTGTCTCAAACCCCACCAGGTTTCACACTGTTACTGTAGTTTACAAACAGTAACGTTACGGAGCACGACGACTCCCCTAAACCAGTAAGTCAGTTGGCCTCTTTTAACTGGTTGTCTTACGCATAAGCAGAGTTTTGACTGACAGAAAGTTAAAGTATATTATAATCTGAGAGTCTATGAACGGACGCCGGCACCTGCAGTAAAGTTAGCTTCCGACTGGCGGCTGTTCAGAGGGAATTGAAGGGAAACTTCATCCTATCAGAGCTAACATTGCTCTGATCTGATCATGTTCCGCCACTTGAAGTTACAAGATAACGCTGGAAGAGCACAAAGATGAAACTGTTATTATATCTGTGAAAAGTGGACAACGAACAAAGTCTAGACTAGAAATTCAAGTAGCTTCACCTCGACTGGATAAATATGGAAAGTGTGAAGACGATTAAAAAGTCTTATTAGGTTGTATGTGTTATAGGTGGGGTAAAATAAACTAAAACAGACATTAATAGGAGCCTATAAAGCCTTTATATACTCCAAATACTTTATAAAATTCATGTTTGACTAGATAGCATCTCATAAGTTACATGGGCTCTTAATGAAAAATGTATGTTTGATGTCAGCTGAGGCATATTGTCCTTTAAGTTTGAATAAAATTCCCCTTTAATTAATATTTTAGGAACCTAACTTTAGCCGTGTGCATCCATCCTGCAGTGTGCATGAATGCAGGACACTCTTGTAAGCAACCACAGGTAGGATCTGTAAACTTGGCTCAGAATAAGGAAGTGATGTAATCCCCCTTAAGGAACAAAGTCAGACACAGCTGAGCGCTGGTGGAAGTGTAGACAAAGGGGGATGGAAAGCATAGCCTCTCTATGTGTATCATATTTGTTTGATATGTTATTCATGCCTGCATTTCCTGTGTCTTCCTAGAAAAAAAATGCCATCGAGAAATCATCTTGACAAAATCGGGAGGAAGAAGAAGAAGAAATGGACAGAGGAGGCCATGGAACGTGCACTGATTGAGGTGAAGTCGGGAAGGTGTACGGTGAGACAGGCTGCCAAAGAGTTTGGAGTCCCTAAATCCTCACTGGGGGACAGAGTCAGTGGACGGGTGACACCAGGGAGTCGCAGCGGGCCAGCTCAGCTTATAACGTCTGCCGACGAGGAGCTGTTGGTGGAGTTCTCTTTATACATGTCCAAACACGGATTTCCACTGACCAAGCAACAGCTGGTGTCCTTTGCCTCATCCATTTATAAGCGGCAGCATCGGAGGGTGGCATTTTCTAAACTAGGCCAGACCTGGTGGCTCAATTTTAGAAAACGGCAAGAAAAGAATATTACCATTCAGCCAGCAGACAATGTTGTCCGTGGGAGGACAGTATGTGTGAGGAAGGAAGCAGTGGATCAGTTTTTTCATTTACTGAGCACTGTCATGGACGCTCATGGGCTCAGAGACAAGCCTCACCAAATCTTCAACTGCAATGAGATGGGCTTTCAGCTGGGCAGGAAGAGGGTAATTCTCCCCAAATCTGCCAGTCTGGGCTACAAGCCAGCACCAGGCCTGAGGGACCACATCTCTGTCCTGGCTTGCTTTAGCGCAGCTGGAGAGGACATTCCCCCATTTATTATCTACTCAAAGGCCTATCCAGGGGGAGTATGTTACAAGACACAAGGGCCTCTGAATGCCCTCTATGGATGGTCAGACTCGGGGTGCGTCAACTCTGACCTTTTCAAGAAATGGTTCCTCAAACACTTCCTCCTGCACGCACCGAAGAAGCGTCCGCTGCTGCTGATGTTCGACGGCCACAAGTCCCCCGTGAACCTCGAGGTGGTGGAAGCAGCTCGCAGGGAGGACGTCATCCTCCTGTGCCTTCCGCCTCATTGCTCTCACATCCTGCAGCCGCTCGACGCGGGTCTCTTTGTCCTCCTGAAGCAGCGTTTCGCAGCGCTCATCGGTGATGGTGGCGCCGCTGATAATCACTTTGCAGTCAGCAAGAAAGAGTTCTCAGGTGTGTTTAAAGGGGCGTATCAGATAGTGAACGAGGAGGAGGAAGGTGTCAGGACTGTGAAAGAGGGCTTTAGGAAATGTGGCATCTACCCGTTGAACCACTTCACCATCAACGAGGGTCATTTAATGCCATCGCTCGGCATGGGCCCGGCAGCTGGACCCTCGCTGTCCACATCAGCACAGGGGGTGCACGCTGTAGGAGACCTCACAGCTGCTGGACCCTCCTCCTAACGCATTACTACCCAAGACTATCAATCAGCTGTCAGTACCTTTTAAGGAAAGAGTTTGACTGCATAATTTAACAACACTTGAATGAAGACAGACTGTATCTGCCATTTGAAATACCAAATGGGTTTACACTCCCTCCCTCGGCCTCCCTGCAGAGCGCTCTGTTTGTCAGAAGAGAAGGAATGTGTTGATATTAATTGCCGTTGTGCTCAGATGTGATGGTTAAGTCAAAATGTTTGAATGCTGCACAACAGCAGTTTCCAACCCCGCGGAGGCCTGAAGAAGATTATCAAACGAATAAAAAAGGGAAAAAACTGTATTTCTATATTGTCTAAGATTTCTCTATTTATTGCCCTTTTCTTGTGAAATACTGGATACTTTAAACTCTTCAGGCCTGTCAAAATCATTCATTCATTCATATAAGCTGAGGCAGAAACATGGGTTCATTTTAGGGAACACAATCTCTGCTCTGTCATTTTGTTCTTGTGTGTCATGTAATTGATGGCCAGCCAGCTACATAAGCTAACTAACATCAAGCAGTGTAAATAGTTGTGCTTGATTTATCTGCTAATCTACAAGGCGTGTAATGTGAGCTAGTTTTTCTAACTCTGCTCTGGACTGATCAAACAAGTTGTTTACTCGTTCAACGTGTATTCATTCAGCTGTTAACAGATTCACCTCATTGTTCTTAACATGCCTACAAAGATAAAAGGACAGATTTAAAACGTCCACGTTATTCTCCATAGTTACAGGAACTAGTACATTGTGAAAATGTAGTCAAATGTTGCCGTCTGTCAAGATTTATTATTGTCCAGTATCCATTCAAGCATGCTGTGAAACCCACTGAGAGAACACGGGGATAACAATGTTTTTTTATATAAATTATAAAAATCTACTAATAGACGGGAAAAGATAACATGTCTTTGAAACTGCTAACAATATTCTGTGAATCTGTTATTCCTTTGTTTGAGTATTCTAAATGTACTTGGTTCATTAAGTAGTTATAAAAGGAATATATTGTATAAAATACTGAAGAACTGAGAAGAGTTTATCCCTTTTTTAATTTGGGGAGGAAATACTTTATACAGAAATGTGTTTTTCAAATATACAATATAATATATCTCAGGGGGGAACTCCAATAAAGAATAAAGGTATTTTTGAAATATTTTTGCAGCACAAATGTGTCCATAAGCTTAATAATTTACTCAACGCGTATGTGTGTGTGCGTGTATGTGTGTGTGCGCGCGTGTGTGTGTGTATGTGTTCATCTTAAGTCAGGTGATGTAATATCAATGCAATGGGTACAGCTGCCAGCAATACACAGCAGGGAACAATGTATTAATAATTATTATTCTTGTTTAAACAGTCAATGGATGTTTACATCTTTACAGTCTATTTAAACAAAGGAACTCTTTATATGGATTCATGATTATTAATAACCATTTTAAAGAAAATGATCGGGACTTCTTGTGCTCAGCATAATAATCAGATTAGTATCAAACACACAATCATTTTGCCTCAGTTTGTACAGATCAAAGATTCAGATCAGAAAGATTAATGTGCAGGCAAATGTGCAGGTGTGAAAGCAGCTGTATGTTCCTGTGTGCCCGGAGGGGATATACTTTAGTAACAATGTATTTAGATTAATGCTTCATCAGCCAACTAAAGCACAGGTCAGGCTGCAGTGTACTGTAGGTCTTTATGGATGCAGCAAAGCTGCCCAGGGCTAAGTTCATGTTTATGTATGTTAATACCACAGATGGTGATTAGTGCCTGAAGCCATTTTTTTAGTTTTTATTCACAACAGAGTCAGGGGAGGATTTCAGTTTGGCCACCACATTATTCCTCGTATTAAAGTGGTTCTCAGCAACATATTGTATAAACACTGGAGATGTTGCAGGTCTAATATTTATATATCACATGGTTGAACTTTGTTCTTCTTTACTACATTTTTCAACACAAAAATCAGCAACATTGTTAATTTAATCTTGCAATAAGCACCTGCTTCAGACACAACATTTGCCAAATGTTACTTCATCAAGAAGCAACTGTGGGCAGAATGGCGATATCTTGTGATCAGCATTTGGTTTTGCATTTGTATGGTTGGAATAATTCTGAGACCATAAACCAAAACAGTTAGTCAGAACACATGGGTTTACTTCTGTCATTAAAGCTTGTCATATCAAAACTGAGTTTACAGCTCTGTTAAATACTGTAGTGGCGTAGGCCTGGTTTTAGGGTGGGGAATCAAGGCCTTTTTGTCCCTTTAAAACAGTTTAGGATAGACATTAATGTTGACATCTTTTAATATTTATACTGTAGCACTCACTCAAATTTCTTGGCCGTGGAAAGGACATATGAACTCTGTCTGACAACGACAGGCCTGGTCTCCACAGCATTGTCCTTACTGCAAGACAGAATAAGTTGTTTTTTAATCTGCAGCACGTTTGTTGCACTGTTTCTCTCAATACATCAGTGCTTGTGATGTAGGACAACAAATAAAAAAGAAAAACTAAAGAGGAAATACAGTAACAATGGTTTGCTGGCACATCAGTAAAATAAATGAACACTTCAATTGTGGTGTTGCATCTTAATCACTGAGGATACCTTGCTTTGTCTTCTTCTTTATTTTCCTGATTTGATTTCTGGATCCAACTGATATCATTCTTCAGTGAAGTCCGCACCCTGGTGGTTTGAAACACCTGCTTTCTGTCAACATCTACAACACACACACACACACACACTTTCTGTCAGTACTGCTTACAGAGAATACTTGCATAGAGCATTTAATCTGATAAAAGGAAGAAATATTAGATTCAAGTGTGACTTACCTTTTGACATGATGCCGATATTTTCTCAGATTTCCAATCTGATGAGATTATTTAAAGATGGAAAAGTATAAATTTATTCCAGGTACTACTTTAATAACAGTGGTTGTTGTGTATAACTGTGATACGCTGTATTATCTGATTCCTGTCTTCTTTTTTTCTCTCTTATCAGTCACCTTGGCACTTGTGAGACCCAGTATCTCAGACACAACCTGTAATACTGCATTCTGCACGGAAACAAGTCAAAATGACAAAGTACTGATCTTATACTGTGTTCTCTAGGAACTCAGATAAACAATGTAATTACATATTTAGGTGACATTTTTTATGATTTTGACAATGCTCACCGCATTTTATATTAAAATATCTAAAATGTCATCCTGACAAAATCATGCAATAATGTTCTCCCACATAGACTCTATATTCACTATCCACTCATTTGCTCAGAACTGTGACCTGCCCCATGTTTACAGTGTCCTGTCACTCTTTGTATCTTGTCTGTATTTCTCTTTGAGCTCCTGTTAACATTTTGACCTGCACTCAGTGTTTTAATCTCGCATAATGAGTCTCACTGGAGATGTGCCAGCACCAATTAACCAGGTCAAATTCATTATGCATGGAAAATGAAAGCAATTCTGACTTTGTAATGACCCTGCATAGTCAATGAGCGTGCGCTAGTATGAAGTCCATTCCTCCCTCATATTGAGTTCTCACCTGTTCTGTTCAGTCCCGTCGAAGTAGAGTGGTGTCGAGCCTCCTCTGTGTCTGTGCCACAAACAAGCGTGCAGGTAGAGGTACTTCAACTTGAGCCCCCACCCCCCTGTCATTTCAGATTCCACCCCCTGTTAGTCTGAAGTGTCACACCTGGATGCTGCTATGCAGGTTGATTGAGTGGGTAGGTTACTTGCTTTCCATGACATATGGGCAGACAGGTGCCATTGTTTTAGTTGGTAGTTTCATGTGTGAATTATTACATTCCAGAGCTGTTTTTAAACTTGATTTTCACAATCACTTCTTCCTGAGAACCAAATGAAAAAAAATCCCTTTTCATGCATTGTTCTTCTAGCTTTTCTAAGGTTTGTGACAACCTTACACCATTTAAACCAACCCTACAATTTAGTACTTAGTAGTGCTGTTTTTCCACTGACTTTGGCCTTGAACATTATACTTACCACACTACAAATGTGGCCAGAAATTAAACCCTGCAGCTCACAGGCTGAAAGCATTTCATAAAAAATGTTTTAGTGTTTTTTCAGGCTGAGCTTCACATAAAAGCATACTGTTCCAGTTGTGGGCATGATAGGAATCAAGAGAGACCTGTTCTTAAACTACCTGGAATTTTATCTACTGCTTGATCAGAATGTTTATTCGTTTCCATCAAAATGCATCCAAGCGAAGTGCTTATCTCTTCCATTGAAACTTATCTGTTTTCTGTCTTTTATGTTGGTCTTGACACAGTATATTTGGGAAACATAATTTTTATTTTTTATGTGATTTTCAATGCTGTAAGCACCACAGCCCATTCACGCCTTTTGTGTCAGGAAATAGATGCCAAAACTATCTGCATGGGATGCACAGCTAGAGGTGAGAGAGAAAATATATATATATATTTTTTTAACATTTTGGTGGACTGACCCTTTAAACATACCCGGAAAAAGGCAATAGCACATATCCTCTCTCTCTCTCTCTCCTCGGCTCCCTCCCGCTCTCCTCGTCTCTCCCAGTCTCCTCTCGTCCTCGTCCCTCCTCACCACACACGACACAACCACGACACACACACACACACACCACACCACTACACACACGCACACACATCACTGGTGTTTACATGTGATGAAGTACGAGATGCCACACTTCAAACATAAGAGGTCCACAGTAATCACGCTTGGCAGGAAATCACAGTCACACTGTTTGTTCATTAGCAAAGGTTCTGCACTGTGTCTTCACTTTTCTGGGCATTTGTCTTCTTTGAGACCATTTGCACTTGACAAAGTAAAATAACACTTTTAGACACATAAAATGTGAATGCTGTGCGGAATCCAGCAGAACCTCCTCTGTTGGTCTGCCTCTTTGAATCTCAGCCAACATCTTCAGTAAAAATTATTTGTATTCCTACAGCACACAAAGGAAGTTGTCAAAGTGACATATAACGTACAGTATTTACAGAACTGACATGGTGGTGTTAATGGATAGGTGTATTGTACAATGAAAATACTTGTAGAGAGCAAGAGGACACATTTGGATCAAATGCATTTTGTATCATTTAAATGAACGCCATATGTATTAGAGGGGGAAAAGAGGAAATAAAAAACTTTCTTTAAGTCTTTCAACAAAAATAATTATATATTATATTATATATTATATTATTTATAAAATATAAACATTAAATGTTGCACAGTTTGTGCTTTGTTTTTTCATCAACTTTTCTTTTATGCTTTATTAATGTATCTTATGATTTATGTATCTTGTGTTCCTATAGGTGTGTGTTCTTGGTTTCACCTGGCTGAAAGACAAATTTGTCATTGGGGATATTTGGGTTTGGCTGTGTGTATTTATGTATACTGCATCTGCATTGGATAGCACGCATGATCATGTATTAGAAATCATTCTGAAATGATGAACTGGACAACCAAAGTAACCTACTGTGTATTTGACTAAATTAACAATGGCAAAAGACCATCTTTACGCTCACATGGTATGATTAATGGGAACCATTCACACACACAGGGACTGAAAATACCTCCTTGAACGGTAATCAGGGGCATTAAGCAGAGTTGGTTGCGATAACATTAAAGGCCGGTTGAGTTCTGATGCATCATCTGATACTGTCTGCCCTCTACCTCCCTCACTACAACACTGCACATTATTATGAAGCCACTTCACTTGTTCTCACTACAGCAAAGATACCTGTTAAAATGTAGAAACTGTAGAATAATATATAACTGTAGAACAACGTCTATATCCTGGTCACAAAAACGAACGGGAACGGAACTGAATAAATATAATTAGACAAACCTATCTAAATGAAGTACAGTCTATTCATTCAGTGGGTCGATTTATAAGCGTTGTCTCATTTCCGATTGTTTTTGAATGCACCATCTCCACGCGCAGGTTTCTACCGGAAGTGACGACACACGTTGTCTCGAGTCTCTTCGTCGTGTTAGCAGCTTTGTAAGTGTTATTGCTTCAATATTCATTGATAAAAACACCCAGAACTTGAATTTTAGGTTAACTTCAGTAAATATAACTTTGTGAAAAAATTCGGTCGGCACACAAACGGCGAGATAACTTTGTTTTCCTGCTCAGAAGCGTTGTTAGACCACGTTAGCTGGCTAGCAACGTATTAGCTGCAGTGGCTAGTTGGCTAACTTGAGTTTTGTACTTTATAACGTTAAATAACCAGAAACGCGTTGATTTGTCTAGTAATAGGATAGGGACTATGTCTTACAAAGATATAACAGTGTTACCGAGTATTGACAGATTTATATGTTGCTTGTTGCAGCTTGTTGCTGAATGTTTTCCTCATGTAATCGATTCATGTTGGACGAATGAACAGATTGATTTTAATTCACCCCTCAGTTGGGAAATCTGTGATTTCAATAGCATGATTTATTGTCTCAGCTGTAATGAAAGCATTATACATGTTGATGCTACTACGTTACTACACAACCATATCCTCCTTCCCCTGGAGACAATTTGTGCAGGGTAGATCTTCAGGCAGTTTCCCTCAGAGCCACTTCTGGGTTAAAACATGTACTTTAAAAGATAGTGTTAGATTGAAAGGAGGAGGGGGCTGCTGCTTCATCACTTGTTGACTCGGTATTTGTGTCTGGAGCTGCCTGTTTGCTCTCCCATCTTCAGCTCACAGGTCCTGGGGCGTTACGTTATGTTTTCAGCTAATGTTTATTCTTCTTTTCATGTGTTGCTGCAGCGGAGCCATCCAAGATGACTACAGCTGCAAGACCAACATTTGAGCCGGCAAGAGGAGGGAGGGGTAAAGGAGAAGGGGATTTGAGTGCCCTGTCCAAGCAGTACTCCAGTCGAGATCTTCCGGGTCACACCAAGATCAAGTACAGGTCAGTAAATCGTGATGAATCCAGTACAGGGCTGAGTTCACCGCTCGCTGGTTGGCCAGACACTGATTTACATCCAGTTCCATATTTTCTGAACTGTTCCGAATGCATCCACTATCTGCTCATTCTGAGAGTGCTTATATCCTGGAAGCAAACTATACATATATATTTATGTTTATATATATATATTTATATTTATATATATATATATATTTTTTTTTCTCTTCAAATGTTCTCAGGCAACC